GCGAGCCGCGGCTAATTTAAACTAAATGCCCGGCCGGTAAACAACCCGTCTTGATCAATTTCCTTGATTTAAGCCTCGCCGGCATTTCCAAAGCTTCCTCTCGCTGCTCTCTGTACTTTCGTGTCGTTAAAGCGAACTAATTAAATAGCATCGCGGCCGGCCACCGTTCGCGATTCTTTCTCCGCTAAAGCGTCGTGAAAAAACGAGCACGACCCACTGTATACTTAGCCACGGTTATTGTGTGCCTAATTATCGTCTTACGCGACGATTAACCATCAACCTTTCTTGCCCCGACAATGATCGAGCCTCGATATAATAAATCTACCGAACGGCGGGGCAGCTTGTTATCAAAATCTATTATGCTTTCCGTAATTCTACCGTACACTCGTTCCATTTTAATTGCGATACGGACCACTGGAACGATTACGCGAAACCATCATCGTTACCGATCGATTATTATACTTCGGCTGTTTCGTTGTCCGAGTGATTTTGTTACGTTTTTTCATTTCTTTTTTTGTGCTTCGTTGTTCGGACGTGTGGTGGCAAATGATGGTGGAGCATTTCGATTTAATTATCTCGGGGATTTTTTATGTGGGTATTTGATTGAGGTTTTTTGGGTGTTTGAAATGCGGTTTATAGCACGCTTCGGTGTGAATATCTGCAGATTTTTTTTTAATTATTGGTGTTACTTAAATATACATATTGTTTGAATACTGTTATTATTTATATTTTGATATTATTTGAATATTAGTGCTGTTTATGTACTGGAACTGTTTTAATATTGTGGATACTGTTTCATTATTTTTTTAATGTTTAAATATTGTTATTGATTGAATATTGTGGTATTGTTTGATTATTATGGTATTGTATACTTGTAAATAGCTGTATATCAAACATGTCTGGTAAGTTGTCACGTAAACGAATAAGATATGCGTTTTTATGCCTGTCTACTTGTTGGACGCCATTTTGTTGTGTATTAAATTATTGTGCATTGAATGGCTGATTGTGGCGGGAGATTTAAAAGGATAAAAGTATTGTCTCATTAATATATTATATTACTATTATATTTATTATATATAATCTACAATTATCTTTATTAATAACAACAATAAATAATAAACTAAATAAATATTAAATTTAGCTGTAAATATATGAATACATTATGTATTTGAAAATAAAGTCTGAGAAACTTAAAAGATTGAAAAATTTAAAGAACTTTACAAATTTAATGAACTTAAAAAAATTTTTTAATATCAAAAATTTAAGAAATTTTTAAATTTAAAAATCTTTAAATACAATAATTTAAAAACTCGTTTCACTCGAATTCGCAAGTGAACCCACAAAGCCGAATAAGTGAAATTGAAACAGCAAATGATTTCACTGATCTCCTTCAGCAATAATCAAAAGAGCAATCATTGACAATAAAGAATAAGCAAAATATACGTGTTCAGTTATGGAAATTTCGTTGAGTATATACGAGGACTGTCCCAACATACAAGAGACAACGAAATTGTCGGATCGAAAAACCGGAATCAGTCTCTGATCAAGAAATCGAAGGAGATTCAAGGTGAAAGGATCGATAAATACATCGGTTCGACGGAAAGCAAGACAAAATGCCCGCGGAATATTAATTCGTGAAACGCCGCCAGTATCGGCGCGGCGAGCACTTTAATGGGCCGTGACGAGAGGGGCGCGGGCAACGGGGCAATGTTTCACGCTCATCGCTGTGTACCACGCAACCGCATAAATTTCCATGCGTTCGTGTATCAGGAACGCGTAATATCCAGGTGATTTTCAAAGAATTATTAACTGCAGATGCGAATGGAAGAAAGTGTCGCAGATCAAATTTGGCCCCCATTAAAAGAACACGAATCCCCTTCACGACTTTTCTCTTTTCAACCTTTCTTCATCGAACTAGGTCGTACGCTTTCGATTGTGATTACTAGATTGCGCATATTTATGCATTTGCCGTGTGTTGCTAAATGTTAATGCAATCATGTAAGATAAGGTTACTTTGACCACAGACGTAGTGAGGAATCAACCAAGTGACTTAGCACGACTGAGCGTAGCGAACTCTCCAAAATAAGTTAGCCAACCCTGTTCTCGCATTTGTTACACAAGTTCAAAAATCCTAGAAGAAGTTTGCGGAGACAAATGTCTCGTTTAGGATCAGTTGGTCATTAAGTACCAAGGCTCACAGATGTCCCCTCACCTGAGAGGTGTAGCATGTAAGAACTAAAATCTGGAGAAGGTCAGAGTGGATTCTTTCGATCCTTTTGCGTGGCATTCTGTCGCTTGTTTCCGCAGTGTTCATCGTGTCCGGAGTTGCCTATCCGAAACGTCCGAAATATGTTTGTAAGTGTATGAATCGGTCCTCATGTTCTCATCCGGACTCCAACGGTCGTTCGTTGTAAGGCGATACAAATGAACAGAATGTCGATTTTTGCCTGATTTACCACTAGTGAACGTATCTAGGAACTTGATAGTTAGAAGATTTGGAAATTTGAGAATTTTGAAATTTTGAAATTTTGGATTTTTGGAATTTAGGATTTTTGTAATTTTGTAATTTGGAAATGTGGAAATTAAGGTATTTAGTAATTTAGGAATTAAGGTATTCAAGAATTTGGGAATTTCGGAATTTGGAAATTTAAAAATTTAGGGAATTAAAAATTTAGGAATTTGATAATTATTAATTTGAAAATTTTGAGATTTGAAAATTTGCAAGTGTAGAAATTTAGAACTATAAAAGTTTAATATTTTGAAATTAAAAAGTTTCAAAATTCCATAATTTAGAAATTTAGAAGTTTAATAATTAGAGTATATAAAAATTTGATAAATTAAATCTTCTAAAATATCAAAATTATATAATTTGACAAAGCTTCAAATTTGAGAATATAGAAATTTACAATGTCTACAAAATCTACAAAATCTTCAAAATCCTGCAAAATTCACAAAGTTCAGAATATTAAAAAGTGAAAAAATATTGCGTATCCGGTAATAAAGTAATTTAAAAATCTATATTTTGAATTTTACATACGTCGCACGTGAGCGTACAACCGCGGCACACATGTCGCCAACAATTAGTCGTCGATTTCTAAAGACGTTATTCAAGCCCATCAAAATAATTCTCACGTTGCGATACACGCCATTTCTTGATCTCATCATCGGGAAATAAGGCTTCGATACGCGACTCGATTTCCTATCAGACGGCAAACTGTTATTGTTTGCGCACACGCTCCACGTTTATTATGCAAACAAGCGCATTAATAATGTTGCAGAGAAGCCGAGAAGTGCAACAGGCGGACGGCAATTTTCTTTGTCGAGCCACGTGCCAGACTTTGAGTTACGAAACCGTAGCCTGTGACACAAAAATATATTACCGTATTGCCAGTATTCCTTCGACCCTTACGTAACTGTCGCGTGGAACTTTTACGCGTGTATGCTTCTCTTATTCTTCGACGAGTGTCATCGTTTCCTTTCTGAAAATCGTTTCACTTTCCCCGTTCCAACGATTCGTGCGCCCTCGGGCCGGATATACTCGTGGCACTTGTTACACAGCACGTACATTTTACTCGCGATACTCTATACACAAAACTGCACTGAAAGATGTAATGGTCCTGCAGCCATTTACTTATTTCATTGCGATAATTTTTATTCGATACATAGATTTAACGGAGGGAATCAACTCGATTAACAATAACGACGTTTAACTGCGCCATCTAAATCATTTTTTGCTATTCTCTAAGTCGCAAACAATATAAACGCTGCATAATGTCAGGGAGTATAACTTCGTGACGGGTAGCAATAAATCGGACAACTTCGTTGCACTTCGGCGATCTTCGGAAGATCGCAGCGCCCGACATGGAAATAGACTTCTATGGTCGAAATGTTAATATGCAGTCGAAAAGAATTATTGAGGTTATCACGAAAAGGACGTATGTGGATTACAGGTTAATGAATGTATAAATAGATTACAGGTTAATATATATATAACTGGATTACAAGTTAATGAATATATAAATGGATTACAGGTTAATGAATGTATAAATAGATGACAGGTTAATGGATGTATAAATGATTAAATAAAAAAAGAGACTTGTGTAAAATGGTACATATTTTAAAAGGCAAAGTTTCTAAATTTATTTTCAATAATATAGGTGTACATAATCTAAACTTTACTCCTAATTATTTTAATATTTTAATAGATTGGAAAGTGTTCTACCATGCATATGAAAAGATTGAATGACATATTTTGAAACATTGGATATAATAAACAGTTTCATATAGGTATAGCATTACAAATTATTATACTTAAATATTATATATTACTATTATATTTAAATATTATTTACATACTACTAGTGTATCTATATATTATTATTATTTACATATTACTATTGTATTTAAATATTATTATTACATACTATTACGATATCTAAATATTATTAAGCATTATTATATTCAAATATTATATATTATACATGTATCTAAAAGTATTATATTCCTCTTTATAGGTTATAGTTTAATTCATATGATTTATAGGTGATTATGTTATTTATAGGTTAACATTTGAAGTGAATAAATAAAGGACTGTTCTCAAAACAAAATGGCGGATATTTCCCGTGAAATATCTTCACGATACGAATCAAGAGAATTCATATTAAGAAAGGAAGAAACGTGGAAGCAGAAGAAACAGCCGTTAGCGTGTTTTTGGGATTAACTGGTCAAGTTACTCTTTTTCTTGACAGGATTAGCATGGTGCCGGCATGAAGGATTCATAATCCTCTTTTACCGCCTTTGTTCTTCGGCACCCGCGTTACTTTTCGCCAGCAACCAACGAACTCGGCTGCACAAAAAATTAGTACACGTTTTAAAAACCGTTCGCGTTTAACAAACCACCCGCTGTTAACATGTGTACGCATCGTCTCTCATTAATCAACTATAACGTACTGTTTTAATCATTTTAGCGAGTTCTTTTATTTTTCGATGGGTTCTCGAAACTTACTTTCGGGGTGAGCGTATCCTTTACATCTCCGTGCAAAGAGGTGGCAATTAAAGATTCGAATCTTGATAAAGTTAAATTATAAGGAACGGATATAACTTTTTGTGGATTTTATTATTTCGATACGTTTTAAGTATGCTTTTAATTAAAAAGTAAGGTAAGTATTACTAATTGCAAGGTGGTTTGAGAAAATACTTTTATATTTATTTCTTTTCCAATTCAGGACTTTTTAGATTTTCAAGTTTCATTTTTAAAATTTGTAAATGTAGGAATTATGAAAGGAATTATATGTAAAAATTTGGAAATGGAATTATATGAATGACAATTTTTAAATCTATAAATTTGCAATTTTTTAAAGTTTTTAATTTAGAAAATTAGGAATTTAAGAAATTACTCATTTTTAAGTTTACAGATTAGCAAAATTAATAATTTAGAGATTTTAGGAATTTACAAAATTATAATAACTTAATACAAACATCACATCCTCAACCATTCATCAGATATCTGAATTTGGATGCCTTCTACAACTTCAAAAAACAGATAAATGATTTTGCTTTACATCCATTAAAAACAAGATAAAATCTTCCAATAATTACATACATTGAAGACATTTAATTTGAACATTTAAATGGGCTCCAACATCCTCCCAAAAAAAGAGTTAAAACATCAAAACTTGTGAACAGGTTTACCCAATACACCGACAACGTATCAGAAACTTCATGAAAGGTGCAAAAAATGAAGTTGATTGTTTTTGCTTCTAAGAGGTTCAATTAGCTGCGGCCGCAAGTTCGATCAACAGGCTATCGTTACATGACCGCAAGGAATGATTCAAACACTTTTTGGACCGTGGTAAGAAAAGAAAAAACGGTGAACAAGCGTCAAGATCAGGTTTCATCGAGATCGGGTCCAGATTACAGCGACAAACCGCAGAAAACCTCCGCAAATGTTGCATTGCTGCTCAATGAACGGGATGTTGCGCGAAAACGTGCGACTACGTGCACGAACAGATGTTTCCCGTATGGTGTCGGTGCTTCAAAGGAATTCGCTTATTCCCTGCACGTTCATCCTTCACCGGTTGAAACCAGGCCTACCAATTTGACATTTTTGACGTGAAATTTTAGAAATTTTATTTTTATACTTATCTGGTAACTTTTAGTTGAGGTTATGTAGTAAAATTTATGATAGTTAAATATTGTGATTATAAATAGTATTTTATTTCATTAATAGCATTACACTCTTGTATTTGTCAGTAATATTTTTGTAATTTTAATATATCTAGATAAATATTCTTTATAAACTAACCTAAACTGTCTTATACTACTTTTTTCTCTAGGGAAGTTTATCATTTTCATTATTGCAAATTAGGGAGCACTATAGGTGTTCCTAGGGAAGTTTATAATTTTCATCATTGTAAATTAGGGAGCACCATAAGATGTCCCTAGGGAAATCAGAGATTTTAACTAACCTAACATAACCTATATGGTTTTTTTTCTAGGGAAGCTTATCATTTCCGTCACTGTAAATTAGGGAGCACCATAGGTTTTCCTAGTGAAATTAACCTAATTAACCTAACATATACCATTTTCCCTAGGGAAATTAGTAATTTTAACTAACCTGACCTATATTATTTTCCCTAGAGAAAATTTCTAGAGAAATTAAAAATTTTAACTAACCTAACCTATACTATTTTCCCTAGGGAAAACTTCTGGAGAAATTAGAAATTTTAACTAACCTAACCTATACCATTTCCCCTAGGGAAAATTTATAGGCAAATTAAAAATTTTAAATATAGTAATTTCCAAAGTTATCTATCTCCAACTTGAGAAACTTGAAAATTTTTTAATTTAGGAATTTGCTTACTAAAATCTTCGACAATTTGAAAATTATGGAATAAAATAATTTTGAGATATGAAATCATTGAGTTTAAGAAATCGAAGGAACTAATTAATTAAACTTGAACACTGGTGAATTCTGAATTTAAAAATTTATAAATACGTACAATTAAAAAAATTCCAAAGCAAATATTTGATGTCACAAAATCAGAGCCAACTATTAAGATCCTTCCCTACACTAATTGTTCCCCAAACAAAATCCAGCCTTCACACGCAAGGCCCTATCATTGCCATTCTCTCCACCCGAACTTTTAATCTTAAAAATTGCCCGTACACCTGTGTATCATTCGAATAACAGCCCGCGACCTCTCAATTACTTGGTATTCACCTTCTCTGAACGGCAATCGTTATCCAATAATAATTAGTTCCCTGAATCGTTCATAACCTAACCCCTGCCGCAGAAAGTCCAAGTCACGTGGTCCCGTTTGTCAAACCGCGTTAACGAAAGCGAATTTTATCGGCGTGTTTCCCGTTAGAGTGTCGTTCCAGTCGCCGGTGTATGACATTCTAATGTGAAGCGAAGCTGAAAAAGAAGAGGAACGGAAAAAAAAGCACGTGGAAACGAACGCGTGGACGAGATGAAACGACAAAGATAAAGGCGAGGGGCAGAGCGGAGATAAAGCGGAAATCGGGTACGTTCTCTGTTCAACACCTGGAAGTGACTGCTGGTAAGGATCGCCCTGAAGGTTGAATTACGAGGTAGCGAAGGAGTAGGGGGCACCTGTGCGGCAGGTGACCGCTATCCTGCGAAGCATAGCGGAGCTTGAATATTCACGCACAGACAGACGCGTCTCGTCTTGACTCGTGTGCGATCGCTATCGCCTACGCCTACCAAGCGTTCGCCTCGTTTCTAATTACTGCACAACGCGCAGCCATACGCGTTCCATCCACCAGGCGTATTAACTACGCTGTATGTTTACTCGCTATTACGGTCTGCGTCTAAATGGATTTCGAGAAAAAAAAGAATTTTAGGCTTAAAAAGATATACCCCTGTGTTCCGAGGGCGCATTCATTACCCGTGATTACCTGCGAGGATGCGCAGACGCCTCTGCGCAGCGAATTGAACCGCGCGTGCGCGGCGCGTGTATGCTGCCACGCGTATTAGCTGTTTGAGATCGGAGTGATTTTTGATAACGTATTTCGTGCGTTTGTGGATCGAGATTGTGTAACGCACATCTGCCTTAGCACCCGCGATTTGTCTTAGTGAGCGTAGATCTACAGTCAAGAGTCTTGAAGCTTAAGGGTATTTATAGGTAGCATTGTTTTATGATATCTGTGTAGAATTTTATTTTACTTATTGCGAGTTGAGAAGCTATATTCCTGTAACTAACTACGCGGATGCGCAGATGCTTCTGCGCAGCGAATCGAGCTGCGCATGCGTGATGTATTACAATGTCTGAAATATCTTTTTTTATACTTGTAATAAATATTTGACTTCATATGTGAAGTAGATTAATCTGCAGTATCCTCGACGTTCTTGATAATTTTCTTTCATATCTTTGATTGATTTTTCATTCTTTTACTGTTAAATAACAGTGGTTAGGTAGTAAAATATTTTTCGTAGAGAACACTGGTTATGACTTCTGAGCACCTCTAATATTATTGAACGTTCGTTACGTTCTTTATAATGAAATTGTTTTAGCATAATAAAATTGTTCAATATTGTTGTTAACACTGTATAATGAAATTATACATTTCATTATTAACACTGTATAATGAAATTATACGTTTCATTATACAGTGTTAATAAATATCTAATCTTTTATTTTATTATTTTATTAATTCAACTATTTCACTATTGTACTATGCCATTATTTATTATTCTACTTAAGTTCTACATAATTGAGCAAATTTAAAATAAAATATTGTTGTGTTATTCTCTCTAAATACTTACAATGAATAAATCCATTCTAACTTAAATACAAAGCCAATAATTCCTATATATTTCATACAACTTGAACTGTTAAATCGAAAAAATGTCTTCCTCATTCAAATATTGTAAATAAAGAATGTGAAATTTGTTGACAGATGTGACATTCACTCGTTAACATATGTGCATGCGTAATTTTCCCGTTAAAGTATGCGCATGCGTAATGCTCTCGTTAGCGTACGCGCATGCGTAAATCACTCGTTACCGTACACGCATGTGTAAATCATTTCATTAGCGTACGCGCATGCGCATACCAGTTGCATTCGCCGAAACTACGAAAGTACAAATGTTTTCACAATATTACATCAAAATACATCTTGTAACCTGAAATTTAAATCACTTCTTAAAGTAGTGTTAACATACTCGTTTATTTCAATGTAAAACACAATGTAACATTCTGATTTATCCTTGAATTCGTAAAAACAATTTACGTTAGCAAAAAGTGTACTACTTCATGGCTGGCTTGTACAATCATTTTAATCACCAACTTATTGCCCCTTAAATTCTTCAAGGCTCGTAAATAGCCTCGTAAAATCAATCCATTCTGTGCTACTATTTACAAGCATTACATCTTGTTACACGAATAAAAATATCAATTACAGTGCCCCGAAAATTTCAATCAACCAAAAGCTGCATCATTTACACGGTGTGTACAAAAGCAGTACAAGCTGTTCAAGTCCAAAAACGGACCTCATAAGACCAAGATGTGTTAACATACGCCTTAATTCAACTAATTTGCATCCAATCGCCATGTTTGCGGCTCGGAAGTCGCACGTTGTTCCATTTCGATTAACGAAAGGCAGACTCTGTTTTCCAGAACAGATTTTCAAGGTGGTGCGTGTCCCGTTGTCACGTAAATCGGGCGCCCCAAAATATAACAGCCTGGAAAAAACATGGTTGCTGCAAAGATGCAATCCCACTAATTAGAAGGTGTGCCATTGCCGCCCGTTCGATTCTTGCGAATTCTGCGCGAACTCTGGCGGATAATTTGCTGGCGGCACGATTGTGAGAAGAAAGCCGGCATGGCACTTCCTCGCGAGGAAAGACAGAAAGGGACTGGCCACAAAAAGGGTTTCTTGGCCCGCGTTCGTTAGGGCGCTGTGATTGGACCTGTGGCCAGGGACGGCACTAGTTGTGCGACATAGGTGGGGTATTTTATATTTCAGATTCTTTTTTTGGTGTATGGGGAATTTTTGTATTTTGGGATTTTGAAGATGTTTGACTATTTCTAAATTTTGGAATTTTTGAGTTTTTGGCTAGTAGAATTTCTGAATTTTTGAGTTTTTGAATTTTTGAATTTCTGAGTTTTGAGTTTTTGAATTTTTGAGTTTTGAGTATTTGAATTTTTGAATTTCTGAGTTTTTGAGTATTTGGATTTTGGAATTTGTGAATTTC